GCGGGCGGCCGGGGGTCGGCGGCGGGGGACCAGGAGAGCCCGCCGGGGAGCCGCTTCGTGTGCACCTCGCTGCCGCTGGACGCCGCCGGCGCGGGCTGCCCGCTGCCCCCGGTGCCCATGCAGGGCGGCGCGCTGCCCCCCGAGGAGGAGCTGAAAGCCACGGTGCTGCAGCTGCGGGAGACCGTCCTGCAGCAGAAGGAGACCATCGGGAGCCAGCGGGAGGCCATCCGGGAGCTGACCGGTAAGCTGAGCCGCTGCGAGAGCGCCGACGGCAAGTCCGCCACGGGAACGTGGAAGAAGGAGCTGGGCAAGGGCAAGGACACCATGGGCGACCTGCCGCGGGACCCGGCGCAGGTCATCGACCAGCTGAGCCGCACCATGCAGACTCTGAAGGACCGGCTGGAGAGCCTGGAGGTAGGGCCGGGGCGCGGGGTGGGCCAGCCTCCCCGCCCGCCCGCTTAGAAACTTGGGACGACTTAACGTGTAACAGTGGCTTTGGACCGCTGGGTGAACACAGCTAGTGCGCTTAATCTTGATGGAGGTAAATCCAAACCGGTCAAGCCCTGGGAGCGAGTTGCTTCGTTGGCTTGTCTGGTTTTCTTGATTACTTATCTGCTCGCTTTAATGGTGAAAAACCTGAAGGGCTCCCCTGTGAATGTGTTCCCCCGCTGCGTGGGGGGACATTATGGTTTTCCTGCTTGTCACTGGCTTAGTTTCTGTATTAATATGTCTAAATCTCTCTTTCTGGGAATGTGACTTTGTGGGGTTTGAGGTATAAAGCTGACGTCTTGGGCAGTAAGACCTTGGCATATGGTGCTGAACAGACCGGTGGTAATGAGGAGATTGTGTTGGGCAGATTGTGAAGATAAGATCATGTATTTAGAGCTGATACAGAATAAAAAGAACCTGATTCTGTATGCCTGTGAATAGAAAGGGGATTTGGTCTAAGCCCACCGATAAGTGATTTCCATGAGGCTGTGGACAGTGCCTGTGGTTGAGTGGCACTCATGGAAATATTTTATAGAGAGTATTCCCACAGGAATCGTGCTGGATGTTGTTTTGCTTTCCACACCCTGAGAGCTACATGCGTGTCCTCCTGCTGTCCTCCAAACAGTCAGTGGTGATGTGAGGATGGCGAGTAGCTTCCTAATATTCTGAGAGGTCTAAACACTCTGGGCTGTTTTTCAATTACAGTTTTGAATGATCTGGTAGCGTAACATCCTTTTATTACTGTTGCTGTCTTTCTGAGGCATTTTTTTTAGGGTTGTAGAAGAGAAACTCCACTAGAATAAAATGGTAGGTGGAACTGTTGGTTTTGTAGTATCCTTAAAGATACCAGTGTTATCTGAAAGAGTGTGGGGCTTTCTTTTTTCTTTTTTTTTTTTTTTTTCAATTTAAATAAAAATACTTTCACTGGCTAAGACTTACAGTTGATCGAAAGAGGATCTGACTTCCTTACTCTGCAAATCAAACCTGAGGAAACTTTCATTTGGTAAATTTGCTTTCAAAGTAGCTTAATTTTTTATTTAAAAAGAAATAGTTTTTCTGTTTACTTACGTTGGCAATGTCACTTGCAGTAAGTAAAGCAAAAATTGACTAATGTGCCACGTGTACCCATACTAATGGAAGTGCATCAGACCTGGCTCCCTACATTGATTTTATTGAACTTAAATGTATGAAGACTCCTTCATATGAAATGCTAGAAGCCTCTAACAGAAGTGCCCTTTTGTTTCAGGACCTGTTTAGCTATAGTGCTGATAAAAGCACTAAACATGACAAGTGCTAAAAAGCAATGCTTCCTTTGTACTTGGTGGAGAACTCGGTGATCTTGCTTTCTTCCTTTTGAATCAGGAGCATATCTGCATTTCACAGTTTCTGTTTTAGAAATGACAATTTTCCTTTTCTTCTCATTTCCCCTAAAGCACCAACTCCGAGCCAACGTGTCATATGCAGCACTGCCTAATGACCTCCGAGAGATGCTTCAGCGGAGGCTTGGAGACCTGGAACGCCAACTCCTGAGCAAAGTGGCTGAGCTTGAGGATGAAAAGTCTTTGCTTCATAATGAGACGTCAGCCCATCGGCAGAAGACAGAGACAGCCTTGAACGCATTGCTAGAAAGAGTGTCTGAACTAGAAAAAGGTAATCTGCACAGAATCTAAATGCTTCCCCATGCTGATTAATTTTGTTTACTCCCTCCTTCTAGTGCAGTAGTCTAAATGTGGGCCTTGAGGGAGAGTTAAGGCACTGGACTAAGTAGTAGGTGACAGTGCAAATACTTGGATTCCCTTTTTCCTTTTGTCACAGGCTTCCTTCTTGACAGGTCTCTGTATGGCTTTGGATTTCTGTCTCTTAATTTGGCATATGTGGGTGGTTAACATGAAACTCTGAGTGTTTGTGGGATGAAAAGATCTATAAGGAGGTAAGTAGAAATAGGAAGAAGTATGATACTGGTGTCAGGTAAATAGCTAGATAATGTCTAAGTAAAGCTGCCTGCCTTTATTTGGACTGAAAATCATATGGGCTAAATGTAATTAGCACAACTGCCTTTGATGTAATGAATGGCATTTTATACCAGAACCATTTCCTGCTGCTTTGGAAGTATTTCTGGTGGGCTTTTCTTTTGTTGCTGGTTATGACGTTGGGTAACTGCAGGTACTTGAATTGTGTCCTATCCCAAGCATATAGCCTTTAGAGTTTACAGTAGATTACACAATGTGCCACTGGGGGACACTATCTTAATCCTAGTCATTTATTCAGATACTTAGATTAATTATTACTGAGATCTCTATGCTTGAGTAGAGTCTGTTTATTTGAATTACAAATGCCCATGGAAATGAGCCAAAGAACAGAACTATCTTTCTGTATTCACTATATACACCTACAGAGTGGACTGTGTAGGACTAGAGTACCAGGAAATATCACTGCCCAATCCTTAAATGATTTTCCAAGGTGAATAGGCTCTCTGCTTAAAAGCAGCTTAATGGACATGCTTTCAAAATGGTGCAAACGTACATATCTCATGAATTTTAAAATGCAACCTAATGGATCCATTTGTGTAATATTGTATCTATTTTTTTCATTTAAAAAGTGTGAAGGAGGGGAAAGGGGAAGGAGGCAGAAGAGATCCTCTATTGGCTCTGTCACTTAGTGTTTTCTGAGAGCAAGATAAAGCCTAAACTGCAACTAAAGTTCTGGAGAATTAGTGGCCTGTTAATGTCTTATGTGGCAAGTATTGCTAGTCCTTGTCTCTGAAAGATGTGACTCATATCAGCAAGTCATCAGAAAGAGAAGGGGAGTGGTAGGAGAACAAGAATGTGTAATTTAGTTAGGTTAAAAACAGCCTGTTCCCACCTTTATTTTTTTTGTGTGGGGAGAGAGGGCTGTCTTAAGTCTCCAGGGAAGTGAAGAATTTGGGCCAGGAACCAAGACACAGGCTTTCTTTTAGTTGTGTAATTTGCTGTCTATTACAGTGGAGTTTAGCTGTTCTGTGCCTTTGTTTCCTCTGTCAAATCAAAGTGAGGGTAATAATCTAAGAATTAATGATTTTGTAGATAAAATGCAGACAATATTTGAAGTGAACTGACCTCTTGAAAATAGTATTTGTATTGTGCTTTTATTTTAAATGCCATATTGTTTAGCATCTCTTCCTAGCAACTAACTAGAGTGTCATAAGCTCCCCATTGCCCTGAGGCTAAATAAATGGAGGAAAACCCCTAACTTTATAAGGTAACATTATGAACTTTGAATTTTTTTAGTCTGTAGTTGTGACAGCTGTCTTTAGTTACCAGTGGGGCAGAAGAATTTGAAGTTTGTACAACTGTTGTGATTCCCAAAGTCTTCTGGTAATTCCTTCAACGGTTGTCTCCACTGACAGCAGTAGATAGATGATGCATTAAAAAGCAGGACTGGGTGGAGGAATAATCCTGCAACATTTAAGTGCGTGGGCTTAAATGTGATTCCTAGCTTGCTGGAGACATGAACAGGTCACTTGCTATGTCTAAATATATTTTCTCCATCTGAAAAGAGAATAACAATATTTCTTGCCCATCTTGTCCCAAAATAATTCAGATTCTTTAGGAAAAGGATTGTGTTATCCTGTGCATGTGCCCATTGCCCAGAACAGGAGGATCTTGTTATCATTTGGAGTTGTGGATATTTTCAAGTCATGAGAACAAACTGAAAAATATAAAAAAGATGAATATTGTTTGTTCTTTTCCAAACCATTATTGCTTCCTTAAGCTCTTTCACAGAGTGACTAATGCTCTTAATGGAGTATATTTGGGTTTTTTTATATGTGAGATTGGTTGTACCAGCCTAGTGGAGGTTGCTCCACATTAGCCCTAAGACCCTAGGGGCTTTTTGCTTAGAATTTAGAATATTTCATTTTTTGGTCTGGAAGTTCCTCAAGACAGATGCAAGCATCAGACAAGCTTTTTCTTCTTCCACCCCCTCGTTCTGTGAAAAATGCAGTCAAAACACTTCAGTTGCTTCTGAGAATGGGAACTGAGAGAATGCCAATGGTTTAAAAATTCCATATGAGAATTGTGGCAACCTTTTGTGATAACAGCTCTTCATTTGGATTGAAGTGTGAAGTTTGGCAAGGGGATTGAATTTGTTTCAGGAATGTGAGTAAAGGAAATGAGTGGGACTCAGAAGAACAGGTTGCTAAAAGGTTGAGGGTGACACTACTACAGAACTGTGGGATTTTATTCTGTGGCACAATGTGGGATTTCTCTCTTCTTAATATTTCTAGAAAATTACTTGTAAGCAACTAAATCAGAAATATACACAAACTATATAATACACAGTATTGCAACTTCAGAACGTTTTGGTCTTAAGGGTTCTCAATTTCACAAAAAATTGGAATATCTCGCTGGTTTTTATCACATCTTTTAGAAAAAAACTATTTTCTGCTTTTATATTAAAACAAATGTCTAATGTCTTCATAGTTCATAACTTTATATTGCATTTTTCTTTGGGTCACTTTGAACTTCAGCTTTGTTTTTGTTCAGATCACCTCCTGATTCATCTACGGGACAGAAATCTGTTCTACTGAATTTAACTCTGCTTTCTGGAATATATCAGCTTTTTCCTATTTCAAATTGGCCATCCAAAAGGAGAGCATCAACCTGTTTCTCAGCCTGCTATCTGTAAAATGGGGATGCTGCTGCTAGCTCCCTGTGTAGCAGTAGTAGGAAAAGAAATACTATTTTTGAAGCGCTATGATGCTTTAATAATGAGCATACCAGAGAATCCAGGTTCAGTAACAGTAAATATCTTTTAAAACAGTTTGAATTGTTTGAAATAGGCAGGCCTCCAACCATGAACTAAACAATGAAGGAAGAAAATATTTAACAGTCTCTCATTAGTTCTCTGCCGTCTATATTTTTGCTCTAAATGAGCAGGAAAAATAAACTAAGTAAATAGCATGATGTGTATAAAACCTATTTTTCTGTGCTGCAAAATCAACATTCAGTAATACCGCTTCAATTTTTTTTTGTGTTTACCTCTCTAAAGTGATTAAAATTCCAAAGATTCTCAATATCAATTATTTTGTTTCTTAACCTGAATTACAAATACATTGTTTTGTTTAGTGTTAAAGGTTTTTCTTCCCCAATGTAATTCTAGGTAACAGTGCATTTAAGTCACCTGATGAATTCAAAGTCTCCCTTCCTCTTCGCACAAACTACTTATATGGGAAGATCAAGAAGACTCTGCCAGAGCTGTATGCTTTTACTGTATGCTTGTGGTTGAGATCAAGTGCTTCTCCTGGAATTGGCACTCCATTCTCATATGCTGTTCCTGGTCAGGCTAATGAAATTGTCCTCATAGAATGGGGGAATAATCCAATTGAACTGCTAATTAATGATAAGGTGAGAACTGACTAACTCTTCTTTATTGTCTACATAATCAGAATAAGGCCTGAACCCTTGGTACCTCTCTAGTAACTCTTTCATTCTCTCTTGAGAGAAGCCAGCTCTGGGCCTTTGAGATGGTAGCATCTACTTGTCTGTTGTTGTCCATCTGTTTGTTGCAAGTTGATAAAAGTACTCGAAACAAAGTGTTGAGACAAAGCAGCATGACATTTAGATCTGTACACACTTATGCATGTCCTCTGAATTTACAAGCAGATCTTGGCTTCTTGGTTTTTTTATGAAACAGAAGCAGTATTTGAAGCCACGCTACTGCAAAACCTGTGAGATCTAAGCCAGTTGCAGTATTTCTGTCTCTCTAATCCTAGAAGTTCAGATATGTTAAAATGAATTTTGCAGAAGACAGAGAGCAAAAGGCATGTAATTGTGGCTGATTTTGTTATGCTTAGTGACAGAACATCAGTTTAAATACAATTTTTTCAGACTTTAGATACAAAAAGAAACACTTGTCTCACACTACTACATACCCCTGATGGTTTCTGGCAAGCTTCAGAATGAGGCTTGAGGAAAGCAAGACCCATTGAAACTTGGCATTAAAACAGATTATAAATACTTCCTTTCTCTCCACCTTCAGTTAGGTTTCCTAGTAACTCCCTGCTCTCTGAGGGATCAGGTGTTTACAGATCTACAACATGACACAGGTGGTTCAGTCATGTGGCTAGTTAAGGACTTTAACAGTCTTAGCATCCTCCTAAATCAGTAAAAGTGAAAAGCTGATTATTTTTAATTGCCTGTGGAAGAGAAGGAAACTTGAGTCTGCTTATCTTTAGCAGTAACTTTTTATCTTTGATATTATGTCAGTACTATTAATGTTCTGTGAGGCTTTTCTTTCTCCTACATCACAGCTACTCCATAGCCCACTGCACTTGTCTTATATGGAGTTGCAAGTTTTCAGATCAAATTCCTAAAGGATCATAATTCCTTCTTATCTGGAGCCCTGCTTAACAGTTTCCACAAGTTTTACTGGGAGCAGGCAGATCCGTTTGTCAGAGTTGTTACTGCAAATGGTGCAGGCAAACCTGAGATTTTAAAAGAAACTCAACATGAGCTCTGGATGGAAAGTTAGGACTAAGCACTGAGATTTAAGCAACAAATGCCACAGTTTAGTATGCAGGATCAGTGGACTGATAGCAGCTTAGACTCTGGTACTTGTTTCACTTGATTCTAGGTGAAACAAAGGCTCACATCTAGAATAAAAAGCATGGCTGTATTCCTGAATACAGGAGAGCTGGGACAAAGTAGAAAGATGTGGACTAATTTCTGCCTCTGAAATTTTTGCTTCTGAGGACAGAGTAAATACTGTCTCTTTTTAAATGTTGTGCTTGAACTGGTAGACTTTGTTTGCAACATGCATTGTTCTTTGGTTTTTGTAGGTTGCCCAGCTCCCTCTCTTCATTAGTGATGGAAAATGGCATCATATCTGTATAACATGGACAACCAGAGATGGAATGTGGGAGGCTTTTCAGGATGGAGAGAAGCTTGGCACTGGGGAGAATCTTGCTCCTTGGCACCCAATTAAACCTGGAGGTGTCCTGATCCTGGGTCAGGAACAGGTGAGTGAATGACAGCATGTTCCAGGGTTTAAAAAAAAAAAAGTTAAATTAAAACTCCCCAAACGAACAGCAGCTGTGGGAAAATTTCTTTGTTAAACACTTGGTCCTGTTGTATAGACAGTATCAGAAAGATTAAAACAAAGCAACAAACGCTTAATTCAATCATACATTGGTATATTTCGTTTCATTTACTAAATATTCAGAATATTCATGTTGCAGCTATTCCTATTCCCACTCTGAATGCTACAGTGTGCAACTTCATCAGTGATCTGAATAATGCGTTAAATTAAATCCTTTGAGCTAGATTGCTGGTAACTAGCAATGTGGCCACTGAAGTTACAGAAAAGGACAGAATCGGCTAGCACTGTTTTATGAGCAGTCAAAAAGGAGCTTGCTGAAAGTCGACCAAGTATAATTGCTTTGATTTGTTTAAATTTTTCTTTTTAATTGAAGCCAAATTGAGTGTCCCCCTTAGCAGTTTACTGGTTTTCCCCCTTCCTTTCCTCTTTATCCCCAGAATAGTAAGAATGTTAGTCTTCAAGCCCTGGAACAGACCAAGGAAAGTGTGCGTATGGGGGTGAGGGGACCAACAACTATGGGCACTGGAGTGCTTGTGTGTATATCAGGATCTTCTATAATTTGGCCTGCTACGGAGAACTCTGTCCAGACTGAATTCTGCAGCTTTTCAGTATGTAACACATTTTTAGAGTAGCAGAGTCTGTCACTCATTCAGAATTTGATGTCTACTTTAAAGATGAGTCTGAAGTCAAAGGGACAAACTCTAAATCAGACATTTGGTTTCTCATTAAAGATGTAGATAAATAACTTTCCTAATGCAAATGCTAATAAAGTTTGATTATTAGTACTGCCAACAGAAAGCATTCAGGAGGTTAAGGATAAGTCCTTTTTGAATACTGAAAAAAAAAAAAACCCCAAAGGATTTTGAATCTTGCATTTCTGATTAACATCTCATCAAGCTGTTGCCTATGAATTGTGTGGCTCTTATCTTCACATTTTTTTCTACCTGTTCTTTGCATGATTATACATATACTAAAAAGAATACTGTAATGAGTAGCAGGAAATAGCCTTTCTCTGGGACTCCCAGGCTCACAACGGGGCAATGAAAAATTAGTTTTGTCCTGATACTGATTTTAGTAGATACTTATCCATGACTTAAGTGACAGAATGGTAAATTCAGAATCCTAATACACTCTGCATAGCAGATGCTCCAGCTCACTATTAAGTGGCTGGCAGCTTTTCTGTAACTCTCTCATGTCATTTGCCTGTACTATGCGTGGTTCTATCCTATGCTATCAGTTTCGTGTTAGTGTGATCACACAAAATGTGTGATTTCTGTCCTTGAGTAGTAGATGGAGCAAGCAAACACTTTTAGTATTATGCACCAGTTTGAATTAGTCATTTGGTACAACCAGAAGAAGCCTGTGTATTTAGATCCAAAGATCGCATCTTACAGGCCCTGCAGACAACTGTCAAGGGCTGCAGTTTCAGTTTAATCTATAGCCATAAAGCTTTTGGAGTAATCTTACATATCTATGCAGTTCTTGCTGAAGTTGTCCTGTGCCAAGCTTGCAAAATGGCTCCTAAATTAGCCTTAATATTTAAAGCTGCCTTCCTGCTCTACTGCTTGGGGGCAGGGTTAGTTATGTATAGCCTTTGTGTGATGGTATACAGTCACTACTGCTTGGTTTGAATTGTTTTGGTGCATTTCAGATTGGAGCTTTTAACTGTTCCATAGAATATCTTGTTCAAAGTAGCCCTTCTAGAAACTTGAAGTTGTTCATCACTGTGACCTAGCTCTGCACCTCATTCTAGCAGTGTGGCTGGGGGGGAGGGTCTTCAAGTTTGAAGAAGAAAATGCTGAAATAACCTTCTCATCTAATCCTAACTCTTGTGTGCCTAAAGGACACAGTAGGAGGAAGATTTGATGCAACTCAAGCCTTCGTTGGGGAGATGAGCCAGTTCAATATATGGGACAGGGTCTTAAAAGCTGAAGACATCATGAATATTGCTAACTGCTCTACCAACATGCCTGGCAACATCATACCCTGGGTTGACAACAACGTTGATGTGTTTGGAGGTGCTACTAAATGGCCTGTGGAGACATGTGAAGAGCGTCTGCTAGATTTATAGCTGCAATTGTTTCCCATTCAAGTGCCCTCTTTAGTAGGACAATGTTCTGTGGAATCTAAAGCACTTATTTTTCTCTCTGCCCTTCTCCAATCTTAACTCCTCAAAAGAATAAAAAAAATTGAGTAAACTGCCTCAGTGCAAAGATAGCTGCTAGTTTGGGGCATTGAGCCTGACAATGAAAGAAGCACTTCTTGGCTAGAGCAGCCCTTGCTTTCTTATGGCCTGATCCAAAAATTTGCTTTGGCCTGCAGCAGCGTTTTGGTTAGGCCTGAGTTTAGTTCATCAGTCCTGGCAGGAAAGGGAAGAGCCGTGCACATGTTAACTACAGTCCTCCTTTTAACAATGTGCAGTGCTGACAAAGCTCTAAGACTAACAGGCTACATGTGAATCCTTCCTTCCAGTCTATCGTCTCCCCTTTGAATTGAAGCCATTCTTTTTTAGCCCTTTTTAAAGAAATCACTTAATCCTTACACTACAGTGGTTATGGTGCAACTATGGGTAGAGCAGAACAGCCACTGTCTGAGTGCAAGGGTCTTGCTTTTTAATTTGCAGATTAGAAATCCTTATTTTACGATAAGGAGGCAATGTATTTGAGACATGCTATTCTAGTTCAATTTGAAGAAATGGGCTGTGTAATCAGCATAGCTCTGTTGAAATAGAGATGCTTCAGGTAAAGGTTCTGTCCCAAAGCCTGTCTTGCTAGCCAGGATCCCAGCGTAGATGGATGGATGAAAGATTGTATTTGTATTTTCTGTAGGCTGAATGTACTGAATTCATAGTGACCTGGCTTGTAAACTTTTCTCTATTGTTTCTCTTGCTTTAGTCAATGTCTTTATTTTTTTAAATATACAAGCTGTGATTAAGTGAATTTCTGTTTTGATTTGCTTTGAAAGGCCTTTTTATGAGCAAGTGCCAAAGTTCAGTTTCTGCTTGCTGAGAATCGCTCTATATTTTTCCAGCATAAGTCTTCTGCACTGTTTTCTATGTTATTATAATGGTCCTATGTAATATGAAAATGTGCTGGTTTTTCAATTCTTGTTGACTGTCTCTTCTGTAAGCACTGAGCTGACTAATATATTTTTTTATCATTTTCTCTCAATATTTTCCAAACAATGTTGCTGTTTCCTTGGCATTGATGTGACTACTTGGTTTGTGGCTCGCAGATAGCAAATGCACTGTACTGGGAAAGAGTTAATTCTTTTGTTATTTAAAAGAAAAAGGATTTAAAGGGGGGGAGGGGAAATTTATAAAGCTAAATATCATATTTTATTTTTCATATGTTTGAATTGTAAGAATAATATGGTGACAGTCCCATTTGTAGGATAAAGTTACATATTTCCATTAATATGTAGTATGCTGTTCTTAAAAGAAAATTCTTATACTGAACTTTTAATTAAAATGCACTGTAAAATAAGTCTTTTAATTCTTTTATAGTCACACAAGACACTGCTGCTATGAGTTCAGCTACTGTCTCTCTAGACTGATAGAAGTACAGTCCTGTAAGAGTTATCTTTATTCCCTAAGTGTCTTAAATCATAGTCTTCAACCAAAAGTTGCTTAGGGGGATGTGTATGTGCATGAAACCACCACTGGGGAGAGGGTCTCCACATTTGGATGCGGTGGAGTGTCTGAAGCTTAGGCTCAGACCTGCCTCCTGCTACTCATAGACGCTAGTCTATGGCATGGCCTGGGATACAGCAGTTTCATTGGAGTGGGAGGGAACCCAGAATTTATATTCATATTTATTTTTACAGTTTTGAGAAGCTGAAAGTATGACCAGTATGGCTGGGTGAAAGTACTGGTTGTAGACAAACCACTGTGAAAAGAACTGTTCAACGATGAGATGACTTGTTGAAATGCAACAGCAGAGGCACTACACTGGTGCAAGTTGTAAAGTGCAGTGTCCATGGGGTCTGGTAGTAAACCAAATGCTCTGCTTGGTAAACTAATAAGTTGATAGTGTTCTCTGTAAGAGAACAACCAGCTGGGGCAGAAATGTTTATCCTTCTCTGGCCATGGAGTGTTTGAGGTTTCTATGAAACATTACACTACTTGATTTCAAATGTTCTCATCCTGATGGGCCTTAAAACAGCCACCACCACACCTGCCCCCAGACTTACAATAGTATTTTCCCTGCCCTAAGAAAAAAAACCAAAGAAACCCCTCAATATCCAAAGAATCTGTGTCCTAACATCAGGGAGAGTACAAAATTCTCATCTCACGTGGGCTGAAGACCAGCAGAGGCATCAGCCCCTCCAGTCAATCCACCTTTCTTTATCACCTTTTTTTCAAAATGAACTGAAGGAACTGAAGTCTAGAGTTCTTTGTGCTGAGGACTGCCCTTTCAGGAAATAGCTTTTGCATATTTCACTCTTCTTAAAAGGTGCAATGGTGAAATTGTCTCAGGCACTTTCCTGTATGGCTAGGAGCCTGTGCATGGACGTGGTCTATCATTTTAAACACTAATTCAGTGTTTGGATTAATTTGTTGGTTTAGGGAAGTAGATGGTCTTTACACTTCAATTGGCCATGCTGGTCTTTATTTAGAGTTATTTAAGCACACTGCCAATCTTAGGTCTGTCTTTAGCACTGGCTTTAATAATAAACACCTGAGTAGGAAGCCCCATCTTCATGGGGAGGTGTTTGTGGGTGGGGGGTGTAATTTTTTTGTGCACAGTGAGAACACCTGGTCTGGGGGCTGTTGTTAGGCTGGTGCTGCTGAGTGGCTGGCTGCTTGCTTTCTTGGGTTCTGCTCAGGCTGTGTGAAGGAGGAACGTAACAGAACTTCTATTCAGTGTGGAAATTGATGCTCAAAGTTGTTTTTCTGCTAAGGTATGTTAGGGTGTACAGGTGAGAGGGTGTTTGGGGACATTCATCCTGTTGCAACCTGACCTAGAGCTGGGATAGATCTTTTCTTCTAAAGACTTAGTCCTCTGGGTTTGGGTTGGCTTGTATTTTACTGATTATGTAGCCAAGATGATAGGGTTTTGGGGGGACGGTTTTGGGTTTATTTTTTTTAGACACCAACTCTTTAGTAAAAGCCAAAGCTAAGGAGTATATATTCCATTGAAAAGGGTTTTATTATTATTTCCTTACTATATACGGTTTTTTTTGTGCAATAGTACCTTTTTCATCAAAAAGAAAAGATGTGTATTGATTTTTGTACCTTTATCTTGCGATGAAAAGCTACAGCTGTTATTCTGCTGCTCCACATTCTGAGAGTCACATGGTTTATGTGCATATATAAGCAGATGGTAAAACAGGAGTAAATATTACCATATTCCAGCATCTATACTGTTTATGGAGCGTGGAAGTGACAAGACAACCTTCAGTTCCCAAACTGCTCTGAATATACAGAAGTAATAACTTAGGGAAAGCTGACTGACAGCTACAGCACTTGGAATGTGCAGTAATGCAGATTTCTAGAAAATCTGTTTCTGTTTAAAAACAGACAGAGCTAGGACTCCTAAAAGCGGTATCATTGATCCTAACAAGTCAATGTCTTGTGAGCTGTGACCTGGCTAGGTCTCCAGATGACTTCTTGGGTGTGAATGCTGTTCAGTCAGTTTCTGTATTGCACTGTTCTGTTTGTATATACTTGATGCATTTAATGGCTGTTGAGCAACAAAGGCTCTAGCATTTGGTATGTTTAAATCCAGGTTATATTTCTTCAAAGACAAGTCTTTTTGGCTAACTGGCTGGCTGTTAGAAAATGTAGATCATATCATACGTTTGGTATTTGCTTGAAGGCTTTAGCTACACACTTGCTGTCTGACTAGAACTGAATGTTGCTGAGGGGAGGAGGACCACCTCTGTGCCTCTGGGATCCTGTTGTGAATGGGAGACTGACTCCCTTGTGCAGATGACTTTCTGCTGGGTGATGCTTGCTCATTAAACTGCTAGTTTAGGTCTCAGAAATGCAAGGAAGACCGCAGAAATTCTTGCCAGTAAAGTTCTACTCTCATTTTTACACACACTTCCCCAGTGTTCGAATACATGAGACTGCCAGGGAGAAGCTGATTCTGTTTTGCTCCAGAGAGCTGGTTTCTCTCAGGCCTTTCCTAAAGGTGAAATGCAGGCCAGTAGCAAAGCTAATGCTTTGTATTAGGTGTTTAAAGCTGGCACTTTCTCAATCAAGATATTTTGTTCTAAAAAAATGTTTGTATAACTACAGAGTAGACTTATTTCTTGTTTGCTAATGTATAAGGATTCTTCATCCAGCTGACTTCAGTTATCCAGGTTGGGAGGGAAGATCAGCCACCTTCTATTGCATCATCCTTGGGGGGGACCTGATTCTTGCTAGGTGTGCAGATACAGGAGAAAAATGGCCTGGCTGAGGCTTTTATTACAGATGATCCCTCGATGCCACTGTAGGAATCTGAGGCTAGGCACAGCAAGGACCCCGCTGAAACAGAGATCTGCTGATGAAGAGAGTCAGGTACCATCAAACTCACTGCAGAAATTAAAGGTTTGTATTGGTAGCCATGGAATCTGGGGGTTTTGGAGGTGTTGTGGGATTTTTCCAGAGATATTTTACCAAAATGTCTTTTTTTTTTTTTTTTTTCCCCTCCCACAAAATAAAAGCTGGACCTTGATAATGTTCATGGTTTAGCTGTGAGGCTTAAATAATATATGAGTTTTACAGAGCTAAAAATCTTCTGGAAAGAAGTGAATTAATTGCACCCCTGGCTATAGCCGTTTCTAAAAGGCTGCACTTGGAAAAGTATAAATTTGCACAAGGAGTTCAAAGGTCTGTTTCTTTCTCCACAGGAGAGATGGGCTGATGTTTTGGCAAAGCTTCAAATACAGAAGCTCCCTGATGGCTTGATGCCACCGAGAGAAATTGTTTTATTTATTGAAGATGCTTTGGCGTTTCACCTGAGGTGGCTCCAAGCACATGTTTGTCCAAGCAGTTTAGCTCCTAGCGGTGCTGTTCCCAGGTGCTCCTGCCATGTAAAAGATTCCGAGCAGTCGTCTTCACAGTATCGACTTTTTCTCTCGCTGCTGGTCAGCTTGTACTGAATCACAGGGAGCAGAGCTTACCTTGCAAAGGGTGGTCTTGAGCATCTGTGGCATGGTGTGTGCTTTTCTTCTGTACTGAAAGATGTTTGCAAGAGGTTTGCCCTGGTTTTTAGATCACTAAGCTGTTCCCACCAGAGGTTCTGAAGTGCTTATTAAGAATAAGTATTCAGAAAGGTAACTGAATGACTATTTCTTAGGAGGGTTTAGGTGGTAAAGTACTAGATGCTCTTTTACTTTGTATCTTTCAAAACACTTAAACCAGCTTGTGAGTAGCTTAAAATCCTTATGCTACTGCAACAGAGTTGGTCACCTAGGCTTATCTCCACAACAGAAGATTGCTTTCCTGACCTCACCAAACAAAAGGAAACCTATTTAAAGGGCAATCTCATGTGTTAAAAAGAGTATGCTAAAACCTTCTGGGTAACAACACTAGCTAAGCAGGTGATTTATAACTTTCCTGTTTTTCTATCATACTTTCTGATTCGCAGGGGAACCCTGCCATGCCATCGTGCTGTGGTCCTAACGTGGCTATTTTTTCTGCAACAGGAAGCAATTGTTTTTCCTCCCATTTCAGAGCAGGCAGTTGCTTCCTTTCTGGTGCAGAGCTGGGAAGAGATGGTCCTGTGCAGCCTTTGTCTATCTCCGCAACTGCAAAAGGGTCTGGGAGAAATGATCTGCACTGTCTCTTAATTTCGTGTGAGATTTCTCTGTGGGAGATATTTGTGTCTGACAAAACAGGACAGACCTAGATTTACTTTCCAGGGATGGTGTAGCTCACAGGAATGTGCTGTGTTTTAGGGTAGGGTTTCTCTTTTTAGCTTTTCTGCTTTCTTTATGGCAAATTATAAATGGTTGATAAACACCTATAATAAAATACAGATACGCATGGGCAAATCATCCTTTTTCCATTAACAAAAGCTGTTACTGTGTAGAGAGTACGTATCCTCCTAAGAGATCAAATTATTTATAGCAGTTCATTAATTAGCTTTTTCAAGGCTTCTAAGGTCTTGGAGATACTTCCAGCTCTAGGTATAATTGTAGTAGGTAAATACCTCTCTGCATCAAGTATAATTTAATGTCACTGGAAAACAACTGTCAGTATGTGCTTTGGACTTCTGGCCTGTTGGGGGCTCTTGTCAAGTGGAAAATTAGCACCTACAAGGCTTTTGCAAGGGAGTGATCAGAACTTGCTAGTTGGGTAACTATGGTGGCCACAGATATCCAGACAATTAAGGGGGCTTCCAAAGCTGGTTTGGTCACCAGTTTTACTTGTATATATCTGTGCTGTCATCTTAATTCTGAGGCTGTACTAGCACTCTCACCCATCATGACTCTCATTTTGGTCTTGGTAAACAGCGGATCTAGCTCCGCTCTCATGTTCGTCAGCAGCT